ATATTTATCTTTATTAAAGAATGGCAAAAGTCACATAAGGGAATTGAAAATCCTTTATCTTGACCTTATATATTATTAAATTATGAAGTATATGAAATAGAGATGTTTCTATATTAACCTCAACCTTAAGAGAAACCTAAAGTAAGAGACAAAATCTGTTTACTGATAAAGTGCTATGAGTTAGACCAAAGATAATCAAATTCAGTACAGTAGGGATTATGCTAAAACATGGAAAATCTCTACTAAATTCTCTTCATACTATTCATCTTTGAATCTATAGAAACACATCTTTTCTTTTAATCAAGAGAAGACATTTTTAATGAAGAAAATGTCACTTATTACTATTAAGAATTTGCTTTGTACTGTATCAAAATCTGGCTGCCATATATATGGCTAATGACTGGTATATAGTCTATTATCTAAGATAATCTGATTGAATGTGTAAGACAAAGTTAATGGCACTTTGATAATAATGACCTTCAGCAGACTTCAGTAAATGCTTATATTCCATAATCAAACATATACTAGTCTCTCCCATGGGTCAACTAAACTAAACACATCATAAGAATCTGAAATAATAAACACAGAGAAAGTCAGACATAATGAAATCTAAACCAACGAACAAACAGACTGCCCTACTCAGTCTTCCAATTACTTAATAACAAAACTATGTCAGTTAACAAAAATATAAAGGTAATTCAGAGTAACTACTGAGGTGTTGGAACATCACGATAAGCCCAGGTAACACATGCCACGAACTGATTAGTACAATAGAAGCTGAGCCTTCTACATAAACATCATGAATATATTATTCATAACCTGAATGTCAAGGTTATTCAGTGTTAACCAGATCTTGATATAGAAAATAACTTATTTTTCAATTGCCAAAAGAGAAAACATCAGACTGAGTTAATTCAGAAAGTTCATCCAATATGACAAAAGACACAAAAATGAAACTAAGAAAACAAAGTTTCACAGAAGATAAAAACATTAAAGCCTCAAAAAAAAAGAAACAGTTTTGTTAAAATTGATCACCTAGTTACATCATTCTAAGCACAGTTTTTCAAAATCCAAAGTTGAAAAAAAATTGTAACAAATAAAACACTGACCTGAAAGTTTCATTAGTCAAGTTAGAAAAATAAACTGCTTTAGGAGCTATTTTTCCCAGCCATTTTCTAAGTTCATAAATTCAAGACTTTTCTACATTGCTTACAACACCACAAAAGTTTTTAATTATCACTGTAAAATTGCCTTTTTTAATCTGTCAATTGTATCTGTTTAAATTTGCTGAAAAATTAATCAGCAGTGCCACCAAATGACAAAAGGCAAAATTTCACCAAATAGTAAAGCCAGGTTTATAAACACATGAAACTATTGGTTTACCTATTTTTGAAGCATAAATACAAACACTATTTCACCTCTATATTCTGAATGATTTAAAGATTTTATTTGTGTTAGGAAAATATTAAATGGCCTGATTCCGTATTTTGAATATGGAGTAATTTCACACATAATTTTATATAACTTAAAGATACAACACAGTTAAATTTTATCAAATTCACATTTAACCTCTCAAAACCTTATCTCTGAAGAACGAAAAATATAAAAGTATTTTTTCTGAATAATTTTTATGAACTGGTACTGCTATAATGTATTTATAAGAATGTCTACAAATAAGAACACTCCAGGATGGCCAGAAGGGGGAAGTAGTTCTCCACCCTGAAGGAAGCCCTATAGAACTTAATGGCAGGGCCAAAGAACAGGACAAAGATAGAAACAAAAATGAAATAGACAAGAAAAGAGATAAACACAATGAAAAAGGAATTCCTCATACTCAAAAATAGCCTCTCAGCAAATCAATAATTTCCCTAATTCTGTTTTTCATTTAATTTTAATTATTAAATGCATTGCTACTCTTAAAAAGCTATCTTCCTTACGTTTCACTCAGAATATGAGTATATATGCCAACTGAGAAAGGCAATACTATATTATTTGGGGGAAAAAACTCTAATACCACACAGGAAAATTTTTCTTCATATTAAAATTCCATGTTGTACCATAATTTTTACACTGAGGTATGTCAAAGAGAAAATTTTATAAAATGGGTCCTACATACCAAAGAATCAGAATAATTAAGGCAGTGATTTTTACCATTTGTTAGTCAAAGATACTTTTGATAAAACAGTGAAAGATATGTGGTCCTTAAAGGGCTGGTATCCAAGATCTATAAAGAACTTATCAAACTCAACATCCAAAAAAACCCAAATAATCCAGTCAAGAAATGGGCAGAAGACATAAACAGACACTTCTCCAAAGGAGACATACAAATGGCTAACAGACACATGAAAAAATGTTCAACATCACTCGGGATCAGGGAAATACAAATCAAAACCACAATAAGATACCACCTCACACCAGTGAGAATGGCTAAAATTAACCACTCAGGAAACAACAGATGCTGGCAGGGATGAGGAGAAAGGGGAACCCTCCTCCTACACTGTTGGTGGGAATGCAAGCTGGTGCAGCCACTCTGGATAACAGTATGGAGGTTCCTCAAGATATTAAAAATAGAGCTATCCTATGACCCAGCAATTGCACTACTAGGTATTCAGCCAAAGGATACAAAATATCTGATTCAAAGGGGCACATGCCCCTTTTTTTAAGGTAAGCCTAAAGGGACTTGGGTAACAGAAGAAATCATTGGTTCTGATTATGAAGATGAATTATTTCTACTTCTGACAAATTTGGTTGCTAAAACTTTCTCTTGAGGAAAAGCCGAGAAGTTAACACTGTAATTGTCTCATACTCTTGCCCTATTCATGCTACTACATCTGAAATAAGGGGGGAAAAAAGAGGGAATTAAGGAACACTGGGTTTAAAACATTTAAAAAATATAGCAATCTAAAGCCAGGTAAATTTTGGTCAATGGACCAGGAGATAATTTCTAGACACTCTTGGGGAAGATGAAATACATTACCACAGTTACTGTTTCACACTCAAACTTTGTCCATGTTATGTCAGGAAAGAAAAAGGGGGAATAAGATGAGATTTCTCTACTGCTAGACTTTTAAAACTTAAGAGGAAAATGTAACTAACAGAGGATGAACAAATCAGAACAGTTATTACCTAAAATTACTTTGAACAGAAAACAAAAAGGAATTATCAAACAATCCTCAGACCTATTCTAACTTTTGGAGTTGTCTCTTTCACTCATTCTCCTACATCTAAGTGGTTCTTTTTCATTAGGAAGCTGGTAAGAAGAGAATTTAATTTCCCTATATGTTACTTCAATTGGTGAATTAAGAAGAAACACACATTTGATCAAACTCCAAAACATACCTTTGATAAAAACTATAAATCCTAGAGATATAATTATATTCCTTATTATTTTACCATACATAACAGAAAAATGACTAAAGTATTTCCATTAAAAACAGGAACAAAATATCCCTATTATTGTTTAATGTTATCCTAGAAGTTCTGCCAATATAATAAAAGTAAAACAATAATATAAGGTACAGCTTAAAGAAAGCAAGCGAAATTAAGGTGAGTGCATAAGAATAAAGACTTCAATACTGGGCAGCCCCAGGTTCAAATCCCTGTTCCATACTTACTGGAATTATAACGTCACCTAATTGTTTTATCCTTTCTATCTGCTTTATAAAGTTGTAAAGATTAAGCAAAGCAAAATATGTGCAGTGGTTATAATGTGCCTAGCATACAATAAACAATAAACTGTAGGAATTATTGTTATGATATCTATAATGACTACTTGCCACTGATACAGCTGTACACTAAAAATCCAAAAAATTAACTAAGAATTGGTAGAATAAGCACTGTATAAGCAAAAACCAACGATTTCTCCAAATATCAGCAATATTCTGTCAGGGAAAGAAAAAAACCCTTCTAAAACAGAAAGAGAATTAGGTACTATTAAATAACCTTTACAAGAAATATAACAAGTATGACCTTAAAATGATCAAAATTGTGTAAGAGATATAAAAGAAATAATGAATAAATGTGGATACTTAACACGCTCCTGAATAAATTAATTTGTAGGTTTAAGGTAATATTGATAAAAATTACAACAGAATTTTTTTCAAGATTTATTTCCTGATTTGAGAGACAGAAAGGGAGAGAGAATGCAGGGGGGGGGGAAGGAGAGAGAGAGAGAGAGAGAGAAGCAGACTCCCCACTGAGTAAGGAGCCCAATGCAAAGCTTGATCTTACAACCCTGAGTCCATGATCTGAGCTGAAGTCCAGTCAGATGCCTGAGTGAACCACCCAGGCGCCCCCCCAACAGAAGAGAGACAAAAGTTACCCAGGAACGTATCTGGCAAAGAAAAAGAGGGCAAGCAACTAAGGAAAACAATGTAAAAAGAAGAGTAAAAAGGAAATGAGGGAAAAACTCTAACAGAAATTTAAATATATTCTAAATCCACAATTCCTAATACAATGAGGTAGTGGCAGAACAGATGGAGTAATGGAACAGAAGAGAGCTTGATGCATGTATATTATAGAGTCATTCTCTAGTTTGTATAAGAATTTAATATATAGGTATCTATATTAATATTTATATTAATAATTTATATTAATATTGATTCATATTAATTATATAGGTATTTATATTAATATATAAAGGTAGCTTTATAAATCAGTGGCAGAAGGAAAGCATAGACATTAAGTGATGCTGGGACTTTGATTAGTTACTTGGCAATAATAAAAACATTATTTTAAAACTTACTCATTTTAGAATAAGTAAATTAGGTTCTCATCCCAATCAAACCCCAAAATAACTTCCATATTGACCATCCTTAAATATGAAAGACAGAGAGGGTGATAGAGAGGGAGAGCCAGGGGAGGGGATAGGAGAGGGAGAATGAATGAGAATAAAAAATGGGAAAGAAAACAATTACAAAATTATAATGGTGACATACTAGCCAGTAAGAGATATAGGAACATTAACATGACCAGGATCAAGAATATGAGCTAAATCTTACATGCTCTTCCCATACTTTCTTTTCTCTCTCATATGCTTCCTTTCTCTTTCGTTCTAATTGTTCTTTTAGTACAGCAGCACGTGCACTTGCTTGGGCCTGAAAACAAAAACAATCAACAAAATTCGTTACCAGAAAGAAAGGTATAGGTTGTTTTTTTGTTTTGTTTTGTTTTAGGTCTCTAAAATGATTTACTTATTAGCCAAAAAGGAGGAGTTGTGGGGGTCGGGGAGAATTTCTCAAGTAAAAATAGAAGCTCAGTCTATATCCCTAGCACCAAAACCAGGGCTCAACACACAGCAGCTGCTCAATAAGTATTTGTTGAATAAAAATACAGGCACATTCTAATGGAAATACAAATGTAAAAATTTTAAACTATGGTTATTATATACAGACTTCATTTGTCTTCATAGAAATGGACAATTACATTTTTCATTTTTAAGGTCACCATTTTTTCTTTTTAAGATTACATGTGTAATAGTTTCATATACTTCTGTCATGATTTCATCAAATCAGGATACGAAGAGAGGAAGACACTATTTTTCAGAAACCAAACAGTGAGGGATAAAGGGGAATGAAAAATTAAGGCAAAAGAATAACTATGCAAAACTTAACACAATTTTCTACCTCAGGTTCCAATCTTCTCAAAGAAAACTGTATATTTCTAGTCTATACCTTAAATGCTTCAACTTTTTTACGCCGCATGTCAGTCTCCTCGCTTCCTTCCTGTCCTTCGGAATAATCAGCTTCTTTCTACAAGGTAAGTAGATAAGCAAACCACTTAGGACAGACCCTTGAATTCAGTGCAGAGCTCTGTGGAAGATAATATGAATAAACTAACACCTAAAAATATAAAATGGTAAATTGCTCAACACTGCTAATTTTCTCTCAAGTGCTACAAGTGAACTATCCACAACTACTAACTCTTATGGACACTGAACGGAAAAAAGACAAAAATAGAATGATATAAAATGGCCATGGGTACTACTTATATTTTCCTCTCAGAATTTCTCTGGAAAAATGGTCCTATCAATTTTAAATCCCACATCTAAAATGTATTTTATTTCTATGCATAGTTTAATGATCTTTGACTTTAACTCCATCAGATTTTATGTCAGTGGCATGGCATTTCTAATTTTTTAATTTTTAAAAAATATTTTGTTTATTTATTTAGGAGCGAGAGAGAGAGAGAGAGAGAGAGAGCGTGTGCACAAGTGGAAGGGGGAGGAGCAAAGGGAGAGGGAGCAGGGAACCTGACTTGGGGCTCTATCCCAGGACTGCAGGATCATGACCTGAGCCAAAGGCAGATGCTTAACTGACTGAGCCACCCAGGTGCCCCAGTGACATAGCATTTTTAATCTTAATCTATTATAATGTCATTCAATTACTTTTTTAAAAAATTATTTTTCAACCTGCCTTTTCACCACGAAGTTTGGCTCTAATCTGTTGGCGCTCATTGAAATTCTGCAGTCTTATTTGCCTCAGTCTTGCCAGATAAACCTATAAGGAGAGAAAAAAAACATACAGCAGTTTAATTTAAAGAAAAAACTATCAACATTTTTACTGGTAAAAATTTTTTTTAATTTAAAGAAAAGTGTTAATCTGAATACAAGAAATAAAAGTTTCAAAATCTGGTTAATGGAAATGTAATATTAGCTTTCAAGTGTTTAATTTAGATCAATTTATTTCTGAAAAGAAACACATTATAATTATAAATTTTTAATTTTATCAAAAGAAAAGAAATTGAACTCAGAATACTGAATATCAGTTATGGGGCAAAATTATGACACAGCATGTCAGTCAAATTATATTAACAGGTCCCTCTAGACCTACAAAATCCTTAAATAATTGTTAAGAATTTAAACCATGCAAGAAAGGAAGGCAATAAACTCAAAAATGGCTATGTGACGGAGGTAGCGAACATGCGGGAAGCATACCTCTTCCTCTTTGTTTCTTGGCTTCCCTCCTCTTGAAGAGCTGGACCTGCCTCCATACATAGCTGCCAGGTTTTGCAGGATTCCCTGTTCATCATTTAATGTACTAAGTTTAAAGAATGACTAAGGCTACATTAGCATCTTACCTAGGAATATCCAGGTGCCACTTTATTTCTGATATTTCCACTGATCATTTCTAGCTGATAAACCCTGGCATTTTCCTATATCAATATAACCAATACATTCATTGAGAACAGAAGGAAGCAATTAAACCCCATACATAATTATTCAAAAGAGAGACCAGCTATGTTTTTATTAGTCATTTAAGTAATCAAGTTCTTAGAACTGCTTTGGAGGTTAGCTAAACCCAAATCAAAGTTTTTTTCTGTAAAGGGCCGATCATTTCTACACATTTGTTTACATACTAAATCAACACAATATTAAATATTTGAACTCAAATTCTACACTTGGCATGTCCTTTTACTATAATGCAAATGATCACATTCAATCACAAACTTATCATTTTTTAAACAGTTTAGCATAAATATGGAATTATGTCATTAGAAATTATTAATATCTTTCCAAAAAATATCAGATTGTCAAACTATCCATTTTCTCTTCCTTCAGCACACAACTATGCTTTAAGATTTTTTCCTTAAAAAAATCATCAGTGTCTAACTTCCTTATCTAATGTCTTTTTATCAGCTTGTTGAAAGCATACTTTTTTATATTCATGACCTCCATTTTCCTGCTTCCTATTTACATTTTTTTCCTATTTACTTTCTAACCTATACAATCTGGTTTCCGATCCCACTAAGACTGAAAATTTTCAAGGTTACCATTGACTTCCTAGTTCACAATTCAAATGGACCCTTTTGAGTAAACTTTGCAATTAACATTTCCACTGGAAATTAGTTTGACTGAATCCATATATTTTTTCCTCTCATAAAAACATATGTTCACTGTAGAAAACTTAGAAATCATTCACAATTCGACAATCCGAAGCACCTAAAGTCTAAGGTTATTCACTTCCAAATTTCCTTCTCCTCATATGTATAAATACATACACATTTTATCTTTACAAAACTGGATTTTACTATAGTTATTCTGATTTTACCTTAATATTAATCAGCATATTATGTTTAATATTCTGAGTCTCTCCTCACATTCAGTATCCTTAAAAACATTATTTTTTTTCTTAAAAACATTATTCTTGACTATATAGTATCCATAATATTCCACCAAACAGTGTTCTATAATTCACACATTAAAAAAAAAAAACTCTCCTCTCTTTCATATTTATAACAGCACTCTCTCCTGGGTTCTTCCAATCAATCTTCACTATTTTTCCCAGGCTTTTCTCTTCCTTGGCTCATCACTAATGTCAATATTTTGTCAAGTTCATCCTCTGGTCCTTCTCTTCTCATTCCCAGGCTTTAACAAATAGGTTGCCAATTCCCAAATCTCAATCAACCTTGCAGTCCTTTTTTCTTGAACGTCTATGTATATTCAACTGAACTCTGGACAACTCCACTCTTTATGTAGCAAAGCTACTTCAAACAATTTGTAAACCTGACTTCATCATTCTTTTTACTACATGATTTTATTCCTAATTTAGTTATTGATCACAATCTGCCACCCAAGTCAGCAAGCTGGGAGTTATCTTTGCCTCTTTCTCTACTCCACCAAAAACAAATGACTGTCAAATTACTAATCCACCCCCTCCTAACTCTCTAACTACCCCTTTAGTTTCTGCCCTTTAGTTCATGCTCTCTTCTCTTGACTTCTGACTTTCCAAGAGTTCCCTAATTTATCATTACACCTCTTAGTCTATTCCTTACCCCATTCTATTCTCTACAATGCAGAGTAACCTTTTTAACAATTTCTTTCACATCAAAGCCCACATAAATCTTTCAATGTTCTCATTATCTTCATAATATATGAATATAGAATACATCCCATTCTGTTGCATGGCAGATAAGGCCATTTGTGACCTAGCCATATCTAATATTCTCATCTCTACCAATGCCTATATTCTAGCCATGACAACTACTTGTGGTTTATAGACTATGCCATGATTTCACTCATCTTCTTAAAATGGCTAACTCTACTCATCTTTCAAAATGCAAATCAAACATTTCACCCATGGAGAAAGCCTTGCTCATACCTCCTCCAGTCAGTTAAGTGTGACATGCCATACCATTTTTATATATACAGTCTGCAGTAGTGCACATCAGTGTATTATAATGGTGGACAGGCAGTATACTATGATGGTTAAGAACATGAACTATGAAAGACTTCAAACTCTGTCGGTTCACACATTTGTCAATGTCACATAACCACTGCTGACCTTCAGCAAAATTATTTAAACTTGCTGTAAGTTTGGGCATAATAATACTGCCTACATTGTGGGTATGTCAGAATAAAAAGTATTATTATACGAATGTGCTCTGCCTGTCTCTTCTTGGAGCCTGACCAAAGGCTACTGCCCACTCAGTTTCTTCCCCTCTTCAAAGGGATCTTGGCATTAGCTTATTAGTTCCTTAAGCTTTTGAGATGTGAGTCAGAGTGGGAAGGTGAAGGAAAACAAGAAACAGGCAAGGCTGAGCAAAGATGTGAGGTGAACTATGAAAAGATGAATGGAAATATCTACAGTTACAGAAGAGTGGGTGGAGGAGATCTGAGTATCACTATAGACTATATCTTCCTTTCATGGTATTCGACAACTTTAAGTAGAAAAATCTGAGTTACTTTGAAGCAATTTTTTTTTAACATTTCAGTTTGAAATAGTACAGATTCACAGAAAGGTAAAATGTACAGGGAGTTTTCATGGACCCTTCATCCAGCCTCTCCCAATTTTATCATCTTGCATAACTACAGTACACTATCAAAGCCAGGAAACTGATTCCAGCAGTTATACATGCACATATTGTGTATCTGTATTAATGCAATTTTGTCACACATGTAACTTTATGTAACCACATATAACTTTATGTAACCACCACCAAAATACTCAGTTGTATTATTACTATACACTTCACAGCCATATTCACTACTCCCATACCTAACACCCATGAACTACTACTATGTTCTCCATCTTTATACTTCACAAAATTTACATATTGGAATCATACAGTATGTATCCATTTGAGATGGACTGTGTTTACTTCGTATTATTCCTTGCAGTCCATTCAAGGTATTGGATGCATAAATCAATGGTTTGTTCTATTTTACTGCTAAGTAATATTCCATGGTATGGATACACCATAATTTGTTCATTCATTCATTCACTGAAGGACATTGGGTAGTTTCAACTTTTTGGGTATTAAGAGTTAAAGTTGCTAAGAAAATTCATGTACAAGTGTCTGAGTGAAATTACATTTTCTTTACTCTGGGACATAGGTGCAAGAGTAGAATTACCTATGGTAAGTCCATTTTTAGTTTTAAAGGGGACCGTCAAACTATTTTGCAGAATGGCTGTATCACTTTACATTCTTACCAACAATGGATGATCCAGTTTCTCCACATCATCACCAGCACTTGGTTTTTATCACTTTTTAATTTTAGTCACTCTGATAGGTGTGTAAAGATACATTAATGTGGTTTTAATTTGCAATTCCCACATAGCTAATGATGTTATCTGCTATGTGTATATCCTCTTTGATGAAATGTTTAGCCTGTCTTTTGCCCATTTTCTAATTGGATTCTCAGTGTTTTTAATGTTGAGTTTTGGTGATTCTTTATGTGTTCTAGAAACAAGCCCTTTGTTGAATACAGGGTTTACAAATATTTTCTCCCAATGTGTAATCTGTATTTTCTTCCTCTTAACAAGATATTTTGCAGAACAAAAGTTTTTAATTCTTTTTTTAAAAAATATTTTATTTATTTGACAGAGAGAGACACAACAAGAGTGGGAACACAAGCAGGGGGAGTGGGAGAGGGAGAAGCAGGCTTCTCGCTGAGCAGGGAGCCCGATGTGGGGCTCGATCCCAGGACCCCGGGATCATGACCTGAGCCGAAGGCAGATGCTTAACAACTGAGCCACCCAGATGCCCCAAAAGTCTTTAATTCTGATGAAGTCCAGTTTATAACATTTTCCTTTTATTTGACACCAAATCTAAGAACTCTTTGTCTAGTCTAAGGGCTGAAATTTTCTCCTTCTAAAAGTTTTACAATTTTATGTTTTCCCCTAGCGTGAATGATCTCTTTTAATTATTTTATAAGGTGTGAGGTTTAGGTCAAGGTTCATATTTTTGCCTATGAATGGAAGCACAATTTCTCGAGCACTCATACTAAAAAGGCAATCCCTCCTCCATGAATTGCTTTTCTTCTTTTTCAAGAATCAGTGGGGCATATAATTATAGATCTATTTGTGGATTTTCCATACTGCTCCATTAATCTAGGTATCTGTCCCTCCACTAGTACTGATAGGTGTGATTTCTATAGCTGTAAGTAAGCCTTAATATAAGGAAGAGTCATTCTTCCCACTTAATTCTTCAAAACTGTTTTGGCTATTTTAAGACCTTTCTCATCTCATATACATTTTAGAATAAGTTTGTCTATATC